GTGGGTCAGTGTCAGACTGGCCGGCGCTGGGCCAAGGCGAGGCCCGTGCCAAGGGAGCAGCAGCAGCAGCAGGTGCTGAGTCAGCGTCAGGCCCAGACCCACCCCCACTCTCGAGGGGGCGCCCCTACCCTGTGGTCACCTTGCGGCCCCCCACATTCGCAAACACAATGTCACTTCAGCAGCCCTGCCTGTCACCCTCTGCTTTTTGATGTACCTCTGCCCTTCCTCCTCTCTTCCTCCACCCCTATTCTGGTTGAGCTGTGGAGTAGGAATTAATCCATTTCAATAAATTTCAATACATGACACTGAAAGCCTGTGGTTAGAGGAAGCAGGAGGCACCCACACCTCAGCCTCCTCAGGAATCCAGGAGAGGGGGGAGAGAGCTTTCCTGGAGGGTCAGAAAGTCGGGGCCCTAGTACTCTATTCCTCCCCTCCACTCTCCCTTCTTTCCCCCCCTCTGATCCCACCAAGTGTAGGAATGTTTTTGGGAACAGAGATGTCATTTTTAAAGATTAATGTGTCTTTCTCTAGAGCCTCAACTTAAAGGCATCGTCACCAAACTGTTCTGCCGCCAGGGTTTCTACCTCCAGGCAAATCCCGACGGGAGCATCCAGGGAACCCCAGAGGACACCAGCTCTTTCAGTGAGAGGGGAAGCCGGCCCCTGGGTGGGAAGGGGGATAGTGGGGCTAGGAGACTAGGGCAATCCCATGCCTGCTCGAGTTTCTGTTGTTTTCAATCTGCCTCTTTGACTCCCCAGGGAGGAAGTGAAGCTAGGATGGGGGGGGAGCTCAGATGGGGGTGCAAGGCCTGGGGTACTGATGCCCCCTTTCTCCATCCCCAGCCCACTTTAATCTGATCCCCGTGGGGCTCCGTGTGGTTACCATCCAGAGTGCCAAGCTGGGTCACTACATGGCCATGAATGCTGAGGGGCTGCTCTACAGCTCGGTGAGACAACGAGGCTGAGTGGCTCGGGGTTTGCAGATTCCCCGGCTACACCTTTCTCGACTACAGCTATTTTACGGTTCAGGACTCCCTCCCACGCCAGCGCTTGCTGGTGTCCTGTATTACTGCCCTCCAGATACCCCCAGGCTTCTTGACTGTCCAACGCCTTCGGCCTTTCAGGGCCCCAATTTCTCATCCTACCCCTTCCAGGCTTCATTATCACTCACTGCCCCAGAGTCATTCAGGATAGGGCGTGGTCAGAGGCTGGGAATAGAGTGGAGAGTCTAGTTCAGCGGTTCTCAACCTGTGGGTCGCGACCCCTTTGGGGTTCGAACGACCCTTTCACAGGGGTCGCCTAAGACCATCGGAAAACGCATATATAATTACATATTGTTTTTGTGATTCATCACTATGCTTTAATTATGTTCAATTTGTAACAATGAAATTGGGGGTCACCACAACATGAGGAACTGTATTAAAGGGTCGCGGCATTAGGAAGGTAGAGAACCACTGGTCTAGTTCCTCACCCTCAGGGGCCTACCAGATGCTTCCTTGTCCTTTCTTCCTCCCAGTTCCCACATGGATCAGAAGTTGGCCCTCCCAGCCTGAAATGTATGGATTATATTTTGGCTTGTTCTTCCCAGGGCTCCCTTCTGTCCAGTGATGTGTCTCTTTGTCTCTTTGTCTGTGTGTGCCTTCCTGGGTCTTTGTCTCCTCAGCAACATTTCACAGCTGAGTGTCGCTTTAAGGAGTGTGTCTTTGAGAATTACTATGTCCTGTACGCCTCTGCTCTCTACCGTCAGTGCCGTTCTGGCCGGGCCTGGTACCTAGGCTTGGACAAAGAGGGCCGAGTCATGAAGGGAAATCGAGTCAAGAAGACCAAGGCAGCTGCCCACTTTGTGCCCAAGCTCCTGGAGGGTGAGTATGGACTGGAGAAAATGGGGACCACGTGGAAGGGTATTGACCTTGACATGGACATTTAGTGACACGCATCTCAGGGGCTACAAGTGTGAGGAGGACCAAGCCAGGAAGACTTTGGCCTTTCGGGAGTTCTCCTCCTATGGGGTTGGGGTTCTCAGAGGATGAATATAGGGGAAGGGAGCCCTTTCAGAGCTCTGATTCTGCCTAGGTTTCTCTGTGCCTAACTCTCCTTTCTGCTCCTCTCTCTCCCCTTCACAGTGGCCATGTACCGGGAGCCTTCTCTCCACAGTGTCCCCGAGACTTCTCCTTCCAGTCCCCCTGCCCCCTGAAATGTAGACCCTGGACTGGACACTCCTGCACTTGCACCGGTCTAGCCACCGCCACAGCCTGTCTCCCAGCCCTGCTCCTGGACCTGCTCTCACCCCAGCGGCCATACTCATGCCCTGAGCAGCCAGGTCCCACCAGGTGCTCTACCCTGAGGGAGCCTAGGAACTGCTGAAACCCTTAGATGCTTGGATCTTAGAGGTGAATGTTTGAAAATGGTCCTGGCTGATCACTTCTTTCCTTCCACACTTATACCCCCCGCCCCCCCCCCGCCCCGCACAAAGCCTTTTCCTAAGATGGCACTGCGGGGTTCCAAACAGAGAACAGGACTCAAATACTCCCCTCCCCAGGCTCAGCCAGTTCCTGGAGCCCTTTTCATGGCCTCTGAGCCATAGATTTATAGATCTACTGGAGCTCAGGGTTAGTGTCCTTTCCCTACTCCACCTTCTGCCTTGTTCTGAACAGGTTCTGCAACACCAGGCACCTCAGCCAGGGCCATTTCTGCACTAAGGCTCTGTGCTGGATCCACCAGGCTTCCTCAACCCAGACAGACCCCGGGTTTCCAAGCAGAGAGAGGCTGGATTTGAGCCCTGTCCAGCTCTTGGCCTTGGCCTGAATTGGGGCCAGTCTCAGATTACTACAGGTTTAACTTTTTTTATCCCAGAGATACCCAATACTAGAGCATGGTGTTCTAGACACATATGGAGCCATACTTCCTTCTGAACCTCAGCTCTAGAATATAGACCACGACTCTCCACCCTTCCCTCCAGGATGGAACTGGGGCCTATATAGCCATATTATTGCTCTAGAATCTAGACCCATCCTCCCAACTTCTCTAGTGATACCTATTAAGAATGAGTTCTGGGAAGGACCCAGCTATTATTCAAAAAGAATTAAGTCCTGGATGAATTAATAACTACTTCTTGTTTTACTTAGATAATTTTCTATAAATCATACTCTTCCTCCTAGAGAATGCTAACCTTATTTTTACATGCAGTTTAATCCAGCTGGGGCCAGGGAAATAAATCTGTAGAAGGGCTGAGGAGTTTTAGAAGGAATCCATGGCTCATTGTGGGGGAGCTAGGATGGGGAAGGGGTCAAAATCATGACTTAATTGGACCTGTGTCTGGGTTTGGGGGACAGGAACACAGCTACCTCAGCAAGAATTCCTTCCAGATCCCCTCTAAAGCTGAGGTCTTTAGGAAATGGGTCTAGAATAAAAAGAATATGACATAGACCTTACAGTATACAGATGATGTGTTGTAGAATTGTGCACCTGAAACCTGTATAATTTTGTTAACCAGTGTCACCCAATAATAATAAAAAACATGATATAGACTTGACCATCCCAGTGAAGATACCCCAATTCAGCAATAAGTCCCACCACTCTCCCCTAAGTCAGGACAAGGAGGGTGAGGGCCTCTCTTGGGTTCCAGAACTCATATAACCCCAGAGCTTCTACCTGAATAGAACTTGCTTTACTTTACAGCTTATAACCTCAGCTGTGTGTTAGGTACCTAACAAGGGCCTGACTAGATTCTTCTGAAAAAACAAAAAACCACGGAGAGCTAGGGGCAGGCCTGGAAAAGATCAGGAACCTACTAGTGAACTAGGAGGTGGGCTCTGGGCAGCCTCAGACCTGGGCAGGGGAGACTGGGGAGGCCTAAAGGGAGGGCTAGAGGGGTTGATGCTTCCCTCCCCCCACATAGACACCGCCCGGGCCCCACCGTGTCCTGGCTCTGCTCCCGGGGCGCCAGGGTCCACTCCCTGCATTCTCACATAAAGAAGATTTATACAACGGACGTGTTGTCTGTTATCCGTGGGTGGCGGGCACTGGCAGTTGTTCGGGGCGGGATCAAGTCCCAGGGGCGGGGCGGGTGGGCTGGCGGCTGCCCCCCAACAACAGGTGCACATTCTTGGGCGCCTCGTCACTTCCCCTGCCCTGGCCATCCCGGTGGCTCACTGAGCGAACTCACTGGACGCGGCCGGGCTATGACCCTAGGAGCGCTGCTGCTGCCGCTGCTGCTGGGGGCGCCGTTCGCCCCGGGTAAGTCTGGGCTTCAGAGGGACAGTGACGGGGCCAGCGGTCATGGCCGGGCACCCTGCTTCACTGAGTGCCCTCCTCCAGGCGCCCGCGGCTCGGAGGCAGAAGGCCGGCTCCGCGAGAAACTTTTCTCGGGCTATGACAGCTCGGTGCGGCCAGCGCGCGAGGTCGGAGACCGCGTCAGGGTCAGCATTGGTCTCCGACTGGCGCAGCTCATCAGCCTGGTGAGGACGCGCGGGCGGTGGAGGTCAGGCTGGCCCGCGGGCTGGGGGCGTGGACGGAGGGACGACGGGGGCGGGACGAGGCTGAGAGATGGACCGGTCACTAGCAGAGCCTGGGTGGACATCGGCGTGACTGCTGGACAGGCCGGGGGTGGAGCCGGGTGCGGGGATGAACCCGCCTGCGGACGGATCTTGGAGTGGAACCGGGGCTGATGGACGGACTGGAAGGCGGGCCTTGAGGCGGGGTCACGGGCTGGGCGGAGCTTGGTGCCGGTCGCGTCAATCAGCAGCGGGCGGAGATTCAGGGTCGGACTTTGGAGCTGCGGGTGGGGCTCCTGGGGCGGGACTTGCGGGGGAATTGACTGACAGCAGAGACCGCAGGAAGTTTCGGAGGTAGGGGCGGGGCTTGGGCCCGAGCGGGTGGGACTCAGAAAAAGCGGGGAGTTTCCAGGGAGAGCTGGACCCGCCGAACCCCCTCATTTATCTCCGCTTATATAACCTCTACCTTTTAAACTTTTCCCTTCTAGAACGAGAAGGATGAGGAGATGAGCACAAAGGTGTACTTAGACCTGGTACGGAGACCCCCCCGGGTGGGAAAGGGTGTCCCGCTGCCTTTACAAATGTCCTCGAATGTCCGGCCCAGTCAAAAATAATTTTTTCATTATGAACTAAAACAGAAAACAAAAAAACACATTTAAAACTGAAACAGCCCTAACCGGTTTGGCTCAGTGGATAGAGCGTCGGCCTGCGGACTGAAGGGTCCCAGGTTCGATTCCGGTCAGGGGCATGTACCTTGGTTGCGGGCACATGCCCAGTAGGGGGCGTGCAGGAGGCAGCTGATCGATGTTTCTCTCCCATCAATGTTTCTAACTCTCTATCCCTCTCCCTTCCTCTTTATTAAAAATCAATAAAATATATTAAAAACAAACAAACTGAAACAGAAGCTTCGGGAAACAATGCCATCTTTACTGCGGGAGTTGTACTTCGTGCATTTTTCATTCTAATTTTTTTGAACTATTTGGGGGCCCCTAATTTGATTCCTGACCCACGAACGGGTCTCGAACTGCAGTTTGGAAACCACTGTTTTAGAGGACAGCTAGTGCGACGTCTTCGTTGTTACGGACTAAAAAATTGGGACCCGTTGCGAGGGAAGGGGAATCAGCTGCTGGAGTCCGAGCCAGTGCAGGGGGAGCCGGAACCAGAACTCCTGGCCTCCGGAATCTCACCCACCCTCGCGCTCACTGCGCGCTTCCCTCGGACCTTCCCAGGTTCCCCCCAGCCTCCAGCCCCTGACAGCCCCCCTCGGCCTCTGCTTTCCTAGGAGTGGAATGACTACAGGCTGAGCTGGGACCCCGCCGAGTACGAAGGCATCGATTTACTCCGCATCACGGCTGGATCCGTGTGGCTCCCAGATGTGGTGCTACTGAACAAGTAGGGTCTTTCCAGGACAGGGGTTGGGGGGTGGGTGGTGGGTGGGCGAGGCTCTGGGCCTGGTCCCCACCTGAGCAGATGCCTTCCCCGCAGCAATGACGGCAATTTTGACGTCGCGCTGGACATTAACGTCGTGGTAGCCTCCGATGGCTCCGTGCGCTGGCAGCCCCCTGGCAACTATCGCAGTAGCTGCAGCATCCAGGTCTCTGGGCCCCACCCGGGGAACTCCAGGCGCTCGTAGAAACCCTCCCTCTCTCAGATAGCCTGACTCCCACCCCTCCCTCCTCCATTACCCCTCGTGACCCTCACATCTCTCTTAGCCTCCTGATTTTCCATTGTTTCATTGCTCACTTTCATTGACTTCCAGTCTTCCTCAGTAACTCCCCTCCATTGCCCCTGCCCCCCCCCAATAACCTTCCAATTCCTTTGTGACCCCCGCTTCCCTGTGACCGCTCCTGGTGGCCCTCATCTTCCTGGTGCTCCATATTCTATGACCCCTGTCTGCCCTGTGATCACCCTAACTCCCCCAGCCCTGACCAGTTCTCTGCCAGCTCTAGTGACTCCTCCTTCCATTCAGGTCACCTACTTTCCCTTTGACTGGCAGAACTGCACCATGGTGTTTCGTTCCTATAGCTATGACAGCTCAGAGGTCAGCCTGCACACTGGTGTGGGCCTGGATGGGCAGGAACGGCAGGAAGTGGACATTCATGAAGGGACCTTCATTGGTGAGTGGGCCTGGATCCCACATCTATGGCTGTTATGGCTTCCGGTTTCTAACAGGCTGATAAATATACTCCATCAGCAATGCCAATACAAACCTGCGGTGTCGGCAAGATAGCTATGACTAGCTACACTGTGCAAATATGGAAATTGAGACTTATTTCAGTTTATTAGTGATGGGCTGTCCAGTCTAGTGTTCACAGCTAACCCCTTATCGCATCAGCCTCCTCTGCTCTAGAATGTGGTAGAGCAACCGGCACCAGCAAGGACCAGGCCCCACATCTGTGTCCCCTTCTCCCTTTCTTCTTCCCCTTCACCAAGAGAACGGCCAATGGGAGATTATCCACAAGCCTTCTCGGCTGATCCAGCCTCCAGTGGATCCCAGGGGAGTGGGAGAGGGACAGCATCAAGAAGTCACCTTCTACCTCATCATTCGCCGGAAACCTCTCTTCTACCTGGTCAATGTCATTGCCCCATGCATCCTCATCACTCTCCTGGCCATCTTCGTCTTCTACCTGCCGCCAGATGCAGGTAAGGGAGAAGCGGCCCCAGCACTCGTGTTTTTTTTGTTGTTGTTGTTTTTTAATTGATTTCAGAGAGAGAGAGGGATAGAAACATCAATGATGAGAGAGAATCATTGACCAGCTTCCTCCTGCACACCCCCTACTGGAGATGGAGCCTGAAACCCAGGTATGTGCCCTGACTGGAATGGAACCTCGACCTCTTGGTTCCTGGGTTGACACTCAACCACTGAGCCACACTGGTCAGGCCCAGCCCTCATTTTTACCAGGAGCTCAGCTTCTTCCTCTCCACCTTTAATCCAGGCAAGGTTTTTCTGTCAAGCCAAGCCACCATGGATTGTGCTTCAGCAATCTCACTCAGGTTTTCTCTTCAACCAGAGCCTTTTTATTTATTTATTTATTTAAAAAAATATATTTTATTGATTTTTTACAGAGAGGAAGGGAGAGGATAGAGAGTTAGAAACATCGATGAGAGAGAAACATCGATCAGCTGCCTCTTGCACAGCCCCTACTGGGGATGTGCCCACAACCAAGGTACATGCCCTTGACAGGAATCGAACCTAGGACCCTTCAGTCCACAGGCCGACACTCTATCCACTGAGCCAAACCGGTTAGGGCAACCAGAGCCTTTTTATCTGGATCCAGATTTTTCCTCCAGCCTCAGGCTCTGCCTGTCTTCTGTTGCTCATTTCTTTTCACCCAGTAAATTCTGAATACTTCAGAATACTAGTATCTCATCCTTGAAACCTCTACTCCTCTGGCCAACAATCTCCCAGATTTAGACAACGCTCCTTTTCCCTGTCCTCATTCTTTGTATCCTCCTTCCTTCACTTTTTAGACACCTACTAGTCTCTCTCTCTCTCTCTCTCTCTCTCTCTCTATCTATCTATCTATTTTTATATTTTATTTTATTTTTTTATTGATTTCAGAGAGGAAGGGACAGGGAGAGAGATTAGAAACATTAATGATGAAAATCATTGAATGGCTGCCTCTTGCACGCCCCCTACTGGGGGTCGAGCCCGCAACACAGGCATGTGCCCTTAACTGGAATCCAACCTGGGACCCTTCAGTCCTCAGGCCAACGCTCTATCCACTGAGTCAAACCAGCTAGGGCTCTCTCTCTTTTTTAAAATATGTCTTTATTTTTAGAGAGAGAGGGGAAGGGAGAAGGATAGAGAGATAGAAACATCAATTGGAGAGAAACATCATGGATTGGCTGCCTCCTGCATGCCCCCTACTAGGGATTGAGCCTGCAACTCAGGCGTGTGCCCTGACGGGGAATGGAACCAGTGACCTCCTGGTTCCTGGGCTACTATTCTCTTCTTTTTTTTAATTTTTTTTTTTTATTGATTTCAGAGAGGAAGGGAGAGGGAGAGAGAGACATGACCTCCTGGTTCATAGGTCAACATTCAACCACTGAGCCACACCTGCTGGGCCACCTACTAGTGTCTCTTAAACTCCTATTTCTCTTGGCAGTAATAGCCAACATTTCTCTAGGAGGCAGCATAATATAGTAAGAGTAACTTTGTGCAAATTCCTTAATCTCTGTGTGTCTCCAGTTTCCTAATCTAGAAACAAGGACAATGGTTGTTCCTACAGAATAGGATTACTTTGAGGATCACAGAGTTCATGAGCGTACCCAGTAAATTCTATGTAAGTGGTGGTGTTGTCGTTGCTATTTTTGAGCACTTGCTCTAAGATAATCAGTACTTACCTCACAGAGTTGTTGTAAAGGTTAGAATTGAGTTAATCTGTGTAACATATTAATCAGATTGTGACCTCCTGGTTCATAGGTTGACGCTCAACCACTGAGCCACGCTGCCATGCGGGCAGGGACTGATTAACATTTTAACGGGCCAGTGGTGCTCAGTTGGTTGGGCTTCGTCTTGTGCACCCAAAGGTTGCTGGCTCTGTTCCAGGTCAGAGCACATGCCCAGGTTGTGGGCTCCATCCCCAGTAGGGGGTGTCCAGGAGGCAGCCAATTGAAGTTTCTCTCTCTCTCTTCCTTCCTCTCTCTCTAAAAGTCAATACAAATATTTAATTAAAAAAAAAGATCAATCTGGCTGTTCTCTTGAGAACAGAGGGGGGGAAGGGCAAAGGATGAAGCAAAGAGGAGGCCTTTATAATAACTCAGACCTGAGGTAATGGTGGTTTATACCTCCATGAGTGTTAGGGGTAGATGTGATAAGATATATTTTGAAGGTAGAGCCATTAGGATTTGCTATGAATCGGATGTGGGATGAGAGAGAGAAGGGAGCTGAGAATGACTGAAAGGGTTTTGGCCTGTGCCACAGGAAAGATGAAGTTGTTATTTATAAAATGGGAAGACTATGGGAGGAGTTGGTGATGAGGGAGTTAGGTTTTAGACATGTTAAGTTTGAGATGTCTACTGAACATCTCAAACTTAATGGAGAGGTTTAGTTGGCAGGTGAATATAAGTGTAAGGGAATAAATCCAGGCTGGAGGTATAAATGTAGGAATCATTTGCATGCAGTTGGTCCTTCCAAAAGTCTGGCTGGAAACATGGTCACCAGTTATGCCACGGGATTGTCTTCCGGCAAAGCCTAATTCTTCTGCCTTCCCCTCTGCCCCCCCAAGGAGAGAAGATGGGGCTCTCAATCTTTGCCCTGCTGACTCTTACTGTGTTCCTGTTGCTGCTGGCAGACAAAGTGCCTGAGACCTCCCTGGCTGTCCCCATCATCATTAAGTACCTCATGTTTACCATGGTCCTCGTCACCTTCTCAGTCATCCTTAGCGTTGTTGTTCTCAACCTGCACCATCGCTCACCTCACACCCACCAAATGCCCCTTTGGGTCCGTCAGGTAAGAGGATCTCCTCCTCTAGCTTGTATTAACTCTTAATCTTAGTATTTGGCTTTTTGTCCAGGTGTGACTTCTCCCTCCTACCACTTCAACCTTCCCTTTCACAGACCTGAGGGAGAACTACAACTCTTCATGGACTGTTGAAGTGCCAAGGCCTGCTGGGTGTCCAAACGTTGCACAATTACATGTGCCCTCCCATCATTACCATTTCATAGGTCCCACACTCTTGCCGTAGACCAGTTCCAGCATGTCAAAATTTCAAGAGTTCCATCAAAAGGTTGATGAGACTTGGGAACTCAACAGGGTTGAGTCACACATGTAGTCACCTGTTGGGAATGGCTAAAGGCATTTCCCCACCTGAATAGGAAACTGATTGTGGCTGCCAGACAGTTAAAGGGCATCTTATTCTACATGTTATTGCCTCCTACTGGCCAAGCACCTGAACAGCCGTAGGCTAATTCCCCCATTCTGACAATGGACTCTGTACCAAACCCTGACCCTTTGAAGTGTATATCTCTGTCTCGCCTCAGGACAAGTTGTGTTAATAAAAAGCATGGAGTCCTGGGGACGATGAGAGAACCCAAGGCCTTACCAGTGGTTCTCAACCTTCTGGCCCTTTAAATACAGTTCCTCATGTTGTGACCCAACCATAAAATGATTTTCGTTGCTACTTCATAACTGTAATGTTGCGACTGTTATGAATCGTAATGTAAATATCTGATATGCAGGATGCTCTTAGGCGACCCCTGTGAAAGGGTCGTTCGACTGCCAAAGGGGTCGCGACCCACAGGTTGAGAACCGCTGCCTTAGACTTAAGATCTTAGAACTTAGCTCCTTTAGCTAAGGTCCTCTGACCCCCCAAATGCCTTACAAAATTATATTTCGTCTCCGGACTCTTTATTAGTCTCTGGATTCCTATGTCATCTACGCACAGCCCCTCCAGATTCCTGAACCCTTCTTGATGCTGGGACAAGAACCCCGGCACACTCTCATCATCAATACGGCCCATCCAGGGTCCCAGGGAAGCATCCTCAGGGTTAGGCACTATCATGGTAGAGCCTCATAACCTTCCTCTCCAGTCAGGATGGCTCCCGTCCACTTAGGAGTTCTGAAGGCTGTGTGGTTGCCTCTCCCTGCCTGTGGAGCTCTGGGGGACATATGCGCACATGCTTAGGAATGGGCATGTGGTGTGGGGGTGGTTGGCTGTTTCCCTTCTGGTCTAAAAGCATGAGAGCCCCCTCCAACACGCCTCTTCTACTCCGCAGATCTTCATCCACAAGCTGCCTCTGTACCTGGGTCTGAAGAGGCCCAAGCCTGAGAGAGACCAGATGCCGGAGCCAGCCCCTGCAGCCCTCAGGGAGTCTCCGGGGAGTGGCTGGGGTCGGGGTACAGATGAATACTTCATCCGGAAGCCACCGAACGATTTTCTCTTCCCCAAACCCAACAGGTAGAACCTACTCAGAGAGGGAGAACTACAATTCCCAGGAGTCTGTGCGGGGGCAGGCGGCCTAAGCTCCCCAAAGATGCTGAGCATCATGGGAGTTGTAGTACCCCTTCTGCTGCCCACTTTGCTGAAAGGTGGAGGCTACGCCATAGAGACGGGAGGAATTACGGGAGGCTGGCGAAGTCGCTGCCGCCGGCGGGGAGAGCCTGAAAGCGTTTGCAAAGGGGCAGGATGTTGGGGCGGGGGCTATAGCCCGAACGCAGGCTGTGTCTTTGCACCCGGGACCTGACCAAACGGTCCCGCCTCTTCCAGGTTCCAGCCTGAATTGTCTGCCCTGGATCTACGGCGATTTATCGATGGTCCAAACCGGGCCGTGGGCCTGCCCGCCGAGTTACGGGAGGTCGTTTCCTCGATCAGTTACATCGCTCGACAGCTGCAGGAACAGGAGGACCACGATGCGGTAAGTCCGGTGAGGGTGGAGCCGGGCACAGCCTTGGCTCCACCCTCAAACTCAGGCTCCGCCTCTAACATTACGTTTCTATTTTTGATTGGAAGCTTCCTCGTTTGGTCCCGCCCCCTGTTTTCCGACTGGTTCTTTTTTTCCTTTTTAAATCCGACTGGTTCTTTACTGTCACCAATCGTTGGTAGTTTCGCAGCCTGCCCTAATCTCAGAGCTGTTGTAGGAGGACCAGGACAGGGTACAGGGACTTGGGGGGTGGCCTTCCCTGGGGTCTGGAGCTCAGGGACAGTTTTCTCTGCTTACCCCCAGTTGAAGGAAGACTGGCAATTTGTGGCCATGGTAGTGGACCGCCTCTTCCTGTGGACCTTCATCATCTTCACGAGTGTCGGGACCCTCGTCATCTTCCTGGACGCCACATACCACTTGCCCCCGCCCGACCCCTTTCCCTAGGACCTAGAGTCAAGACCTAAGTCCTCGGTCAGCTGAATTGAGAGTTTGGCTCTGTCCCTTTCTGCCTCTTAACTCCTTCACTAGGGATCCAGTCGTGTCATTCTGTTTCCAGGGAGAACCTAAGTGGGAGTGGGCATACGGAAGCCTTGGGCCCTCCAGAAATGCACTATCAGTTTATTTACTCTTTGGCTTCTTAAAGAAACTCTTTTGAGCCAAACCGGTTTGGCTCAGTGGATAGAGCGTCGGCCTGCGGACTCAAGGGTCCCAGGTTCGATTCCGGTCAAGGGCATGTATCTTGGTTGCAGGCACATCCCCACTGGGGGGCGGGCAGGAGGCAGCTGATCGATCTCTCTTCTCTCATCAATGTTTCTAACTCTCTATCCCTCTCCCTCTTCTCTGTAAAAAAATCAATAAAATATATTAAAAAAAAAAAAAAAAAAAAAAAAAAAAAAAAAGAAACTCTTTTGACTATCAACACCCAGGTTCCCAGTAAAAAGGAACAAAGAACAAGAATGAGACTGTAAGCCTTATGAGTGCAGGAACTGTGTCTTGTACCCCCAGCACCTAGCACATGTCCTGCTTAATATTTGTTGAATAAATAGGGAACTTTTTTTCTGGAAGGAAATACACCAATTAATAGCACTTACGTTTGCATGTTGGGACTAGTGGTCATTTTTGTTTTTACCGTTCTGTAACGTAATATGTTTTGAAATAAGTATTATCTTTAAGATAAGTATTTCTAAAAGGATGTATTTGTAAAAAGGAGAAAAATTGCACTTAAAAAATCTTCAAGTTCCAGCTTTGGTGCTTAAACTTTGGACAAGCTACTAAACTGCGCTAAGTTTCTAAATCGTACAGTGGCGCTAATAATAGTATCTGATCCTTACTCTAAGGATCATATGAGAAGACTAGAGGCCCAATACACGAAATTCGTGCAAGAGTAGGCCTTCCTTCCCCCGGCTGCCGGCACTGGCTTCCCTCTGGCACCCGGGACCCAGTCTTCCCTCGCAGCCCAGGCTTCGTCCAGAAGGTCATCCTGAAGGACATCCGTTCTAATTAGCATATTACGATTTTATAATTATAGATGGGAACAAAAGCACTATGTAGTATGTATCAGAGGTTGTAAACTTGTGTTTTGTTTGGCCCATGGCATTGGCCTGAATAATTTTTTTTTTTAATCCTCACCTGAGGATATTTTTCCATTAATTTTTAGAGAGCGTGGAAGAGAGAGGGAATGACAGAGAGAAATGTTGATGTTGCCATCAATTGGTTGCCTCCTGCACAAGCCCCAACCAAGGCCCGGGGCCTGGGAGGAGTGGGGGGAAGCCTGCAACCAAGGTACGTGCCCTTGACTGGAACTGAATCCGGGACCCTTTGGTCCATAGGCCGACGCTCTATCCCAGTGATGGCGAACCTTTTGAGCTCGGCGTGTCAGCATTTTGAAAAACCCTAATTTAACTCTGGTGCCGTGTCACATATAGAAATTTTTTGATATTTGCAACCATAGTAAAACAAAGACTTATATTTTTGATATTTATTTTATATATTTAAATGCCATTTAACAAAGAAAAATCAACCAAAAAAATGAGTTCGCGTGTCACCTCTGACACCCGTGTCATAGGTTCGCCATCACTGGGCTAGGGCTTGGCCTGAATAATGTTAAATTTAAATTAGTTAACTAATTTTAAAATGTGGGTATTTCACAGAGAAATTTGGATTTCTGGCTCCTCTTGAAAAAATTTTAAAAACCTACAGTAACACCAGACCTGATTCCCCTGTTGGCAGCAACCTGCTAGAGCTCATTAGTGGCTGCCCACTCTGATCAATTCCTCAAAGCCCCCACCCACCTGACAAGCTTCACTCATTTTACTTACCCATCCCTCTGTAACACTAGACAAAATACAGGGGAGGGCATGGGGGACAGGAGTTGAAGCCAATGGGAGGGTAGGAGTGGAAAAAGAAAGGTTGTTGTGTCTCTTACGGCCATCCCATATTTTGTGCCTGTTTCCTTTCAATTTGGAGAAAGGGTTACACCTGCTTTAAGGCAATGCCTTTCTGGGACATGAGGATCTTGTGCCCAGCAGGCTGTGTGAACTGAACGGAGTTTAATGTTTCTGCCTGGAGGTCAGACCAAAGTCAGCTGGAGCCTAGTAGGCTGCTGCAATTACAATGAAGTACCTCACACTGACTCAATTGCTGGAGGTTGTTGTCCTAAGAGGGAGAATAGGGCTACAACTCCCAAGGATCGCTGTGGGACAAGGTCAGCACGTCCCTGTCCAGCCAGACCCACCGACCACACAAATAATTGCACCTGGCATCCCACTGCGGAGCACAGCTTGTTTGTCTTGTTGGTTTATTGGCCTAGAGAGTTGGACACACACACAAATGCGGAGATAAATATTGGTCAATTTCTCTAAATCTGGGTCCTCACTACATATAGAACTAGAGTCTGTAGAATTCTAAATCTCGCGTGCTGTGGCACAGAACCAGTGGCCTTCCTACTCCACCATCACCCTTCTTCCCAGGGAACATGAGGAAAGGGCACAAACTGACAAGACGATACTTTTCAAAAGATGAAATTGCAAAACCCCCATGTCCAACATCTGAAATTCACAATATTCAAGTTCCCCATGTCTTTTCATCGCCATTTTGCCACAATCTCATTTGTTGCCCAGAACCACCAAATTCTGGAAACTTTTCCCTAAATCATATTTTCAAAAAAATAAATGTCTACAATCTCAGTTCTCCCAAAATGGTTTTAGAATTGTGACCTGCAGAAATTACAATTCCCTGGTCCATCCTCCACCCCTTCCATCTCCTGTGCCTTTCTGCCTCAGCGGTTCAGGTTAAGGATATAAGGGGACTGTCATCCCATCTGGCCCCTGCCTCCAAAGCCTTCCTCCGTCTCTCTTGTGGTTCCGCTGTGTGTGTATATATATATATAATCTGTGTGTAGATATAGATATATATATATGTATTCTTTATTATGTACTTTTTTCGCAGTTTTTCTAAAGTGCCAGAAACAAGATTTGTGGGAACGTTTTAGTGATTTTTTTTTTTTGCATTTTTCCCTGTTTAAAAAAATTTTTTTTCTCCCATAAAAATTGGAACTTGGTACATTCAGTAGGAAAACTCTTCACTCGGACTGTGGCCAAGACCAAGAAAAGTGCAAAGAGACAGAGGAGAAGTGAAGGAGCGACACTCCTCCATAGTTAACATTCAGGGAGCCTGTCAAGAACCTCCCCCTTTGTGTAGTCTGGGAGGGTAAGAGGAGGCAGGAGGATGCTCCTGTCCCTTCCCCCAAATTCACCTCCCTCTAAAAGCCATGATCTTGCCCTTTCAACATCTTTTGAGAGGGCAGCCATCTTGGCCCCAGAAAACAGTAGCTGGGAAAAAGGCTGCCATTTTGATGATAGCAACTTTCCCCTTTTCTAAAACTGCACTCCTCTAATTCCCATTTTTCAAATTTGCTCCCCAAAACTGGCTCTCCCCTTATGAGCTGGGTTTTTTTGGGTGAGGTGGGTTAGATGGGAAATGCTCATCCAATCACAGAGTGGGGAGGCCCTGTTATCACAGAATTAGGAGCAAATGTTTCTCCAACAACCCACTGGAAGGAAACATAGGGACCCTGACCAGGGTTAACTAGTGCAAATTAGGGATTAGGGACTATTTAAGGTCCCTGCACCCCATCCCTAGGCTGGGATCTTTGGGTGTGGGGAACTGAATCAGAGATGGGGTATAAGGTGCTATTTTGGAGGGGAAATTGGTGGGGATACCCCAAAGCCCACCAAGGGAATAGTATGGTTTCCCCAAAACCATCTGGAGTGATTGGTGAGGGAAGTGGTACTGGGACAGATGGGGGTAAAGGTAAGGATGGGAGGTCATGTGCAAATCTTGAGCTTACCCACCCATCCAACCCCCATTATTTTTCTGGCTATTTGGTCTAGTCTGGGAGAAACCATCAGGAAGAAAAAAAAAAACACACAGGGAAAAAGTAGATTCCCTTCCCCATTCCATATGGAGGTCCTCCCTCCTAGCCCCCAAATCTGGCTTAGCCCAGAAGAGGCCATAGGTAGAGGCAGAAAGAGATGTGATCTACTCACCTCTTTTGCCTTGGAAGAATCTGGGACTCACTGGATTTGGGGGTCAAGATAGAACCAAGATTGGTGCTGCCCTGGGCTGGGAAAGAAACAGATGGGTAGCCCTCCTCCCCAACACCCCCTTGACCTGGATTGGAAGAGGCCATCTCCAGAGTCTAGGAGTTTGAGGAGGGATATGGAAGATCCAAAGGCATGGAAGCCGAGGAAGGCATGGCATCTTAACGTGAAGGAAAAAGGGACACAGAAATCCACCATCGGAAGATAGAATCCAAAGCCAAGCTCCCATGTGGGTGGGTGTCAGGTATCACAATGGTCTGGTCCAGGCCCTGGGCCAAGAATGGAATGTGCTAGGAAGCATCTGGGCAAGGGCTTAGAGAACGCTTCAGAAGGAGGGAGGAGCATAGGGAAGAGAGATGGTTTCCCCCTAGGAACACGAATCAGGGGGGCGGGTTAGACATTCAGAGCTGGTGGGGGCCATGAGTAGAGATTCATGTAAGTATATTGCTCAGTTGCCCCGAGGGCTGGCCAAGGGAATGGGAGCTGGCCCTGCCCCTCATGGAGGTCATTCCCTGGAGGAGAACCGAGAGGGGAACCACCAAAGATCCCTTCCCAGGAGATAGGAAAACTACAATCTCACACAAAGCAGCCTGACCCCTGAGCTCCAGGGGCCCCTAAGTCCCTGCACAAGAGTGTGGAGGGGCTCCCGGGGGCAAGGAGGCCAGGGAGCTGGTAGTGGCGGGGGGTTCAGGGAGGGTGGCATCTGGTGAAAGGGGAGATCTGGGTCCAGAGCTCACCCCACATCTCCCTTCTGGGTTCCTTCAATCCCTGCCCATTCCCCTTCTCCCTTAGGGGGGACCGGTGGAGGAAGAGTTGGGGGAGGCGGAGTTGGGGGCGTAGGGGGTACTGCTTGAGGATTGACTGCGTAGCCAAAGACCCCTGGTAGGAAAGGAAGGGCTCCCCCACCCTTCTCATCAGGTAGGACCATGTTAAGAGCAACTGGGAGCGCAGCCAAGTTGCTGAAGTTGTAAGGGTAGGCAGCAAGGAGCTGGGGGCCATAGACGAGGGGGTAGGGCTCGGGGTAGAAGGTGACTTTGG